TCCTCTTTTCTCCCATTCATTGCGTGAAATGGATGTTGTTTGTGCGATTCACTCCCATTAATTTGAGTTCAAACTCTGAAACATGTTTTCTTTAGCGAAATCCTAGCGTCTGGTATTTTGATGTCATCTTTTCTCACCATTTCACGATTTTATAATATACTGGCAATGATGAAAAAAAGGCCGGACTTACGGCTGCTTCCGTTCGGACGGTAGTAGAATGACGATGTGTCTGCAGTAAGGTGTTTTTCTGAGCCAGTTCTTGTAGCAGTGTAACACTGTCCATTTCGCGCGCTAATTTTTTGATATTTTTGATGGCTCGTCATACGCCCTTATATGGAGTCGTCAAGTAGTTGTAATTTTTTTCACAGTTTCTCTTGAATAGGGCGATGTTTTGTTGTGGAAAACTGGAAGTAGGAGTGTTCTTATAATTCTTTCCCAGTGCTTGCTTTGGCATAATCTACTGTTTTTTTTTTTATGCTTCCCCCACCCTACTGATGCTCGTCTGTTTGTCTTGTGTTTTGTCAAGTATCAACGATTCTATTTATTGGGTATTATTATGAGTCGTAAGTCAAAATTTAAGACTGAATGAGGAAGCTTGAAGTTCAAAGTATGAAAATTAAGATTTAGTATGACCATGCAAATTAAGATTTCTCCCAATCTATAGTATGGAAAGAGGAAGTATATGCTATAAAGAGTCCTAGAAATTATATCATTTGTGCTGAATATTTGTAGCCAGTTGAGGCTTGTAGCATTAATTCAACTAGATGTTACACAGAATTATTGAACTTGCAGCAATGAATGCAAGTTCGTCTGCTATTTATAGTCCTTTTTAAGGTTCCTTCAAAAAACAGTTCAATTAATAGGATCGACACAAGACGAAGCGAGGCTTCCTCATACAAATCTACAATGGAATTTCCTCGTAATAAATCACTACAAAAAATTCTCTGTTTTCTATTATCAAGTTGATGGATTTAACACCTTGAAATTCTTCCTCTACTCTGCTGTGAAATTCCCAATAGCCCAAAGGCTCTTACCACGCAGTTGACTTATAATTTCCTGTACATAATGTCGCAGAAAAGATTCTCATAACTCATTGAAAATTAGAAGAAAAAAAAGAGGATTGATCAATTCAATCAGAAGTACAAGGAGTGATTTAATTTTGTGCAGCCACTGCGTGGTCATTGGGGTGGAGTGGCACAGCCACCGCAGCAGCACGAACAGCTGCGTGCCTCCTTTGTCGCTCTCTAAGATATAGGACAGTGAGGAGGCAGGCAAATAGAGTTAGAATTGTTGCATTTCCTTCCTCCAACAGTACATCCTCCACCCATGCATCAATTTTTGGATAAACTTCTGGCAACGAATCAATCACATGGACCTAATTCACACATAAGAAATACCCCATTTGATAAGTCCATGTGTTAATAAAGCGTGAAGGAATATAACACAATCTACTTTGTGTGTGTCTAGGGGCTAAGGTACTCTAGCAAGGCAAATATTAAGAAGAGTAGTCCATTAAACCCACCAGAAAACAGTCCGCATGATTCTTTCGTAACCACAGGCTTCCTAGAGCCAGCTTGACTGGCAACCTAGCAGCTGGATCAAGTTCCAGAGCTTGATCATAGTAACGCTTGGCTAGGTGAAGGTCAAACGGAAGGCCTAGACCGTGTTCATGCATGTAACCAAGGTTGAACATGGCTTGTGCATTTAGCTGGGATTTGGCATGCATGTATGCTTCCGCAGCACGATCATAATCTACGTCAGTGCCCTGAGTGAAAATGGAAAAGTAGAAACATAAAGATCTCGAACTTGTGATCTTTAAACATTTACGATTTAATTGTATCACGTACTCTGTGAACATACCCGACCGTAGTAATATGCATCCCCAATCAGTAAAGCGGCATGTTCATTGCCCTGCTCGGATGCTTGCCACCAAAGAGAATGAGCTCTTTGATGTCTTTCTGCCTTGGCGCAAAAGCCATATTCCCCCAGACACATGCTTTGTTCTCCATATTTGTCAAGTATCCATGCTGCATTGCTTTGTGCCACCTCGTATCCTAGCTCTGCCATTCTTGTATACAAGAAGAATGCCTTGCGAATGTCAGCTTTCAGATATGATTCCAATGCCCATCTAGACAATGAACTCCAAGGTCCTCGTTCGGCAACTAATTTGTACAGTGCACTTGCCTGCAACCACTCAAACATCAATTAGTAACTTGCCCATCTAGACAATGTATGTGAATAGGTTGAGAAACTTTCCGATAACTATATCCCAAAAGAAAACTTCAAACAACCAATTTGATACTCCTTGGAAATCGACCATAATGCATACAAATCTATACATACATATATATATATATATCAACCCTAAGCATGAGCATAGTGAGAAGGCTATGAAATGTAGTTGAGTGAATGTACCATAGGAATATTCCTCTTGAGCCCAACACCAGTATGAAACATCTTTGCCAGCTGATAGAATGCTTTTGGTTGTCCAGCATTAGCAGCCACTATAAAATGAGTACATGCCTTCTTCACATCTCTCTTTACTCCAATTCCTTTAAGATACATAACTCCTAGATTATAATGACCACCAGACTCGTCGTTATTGGCAGCTTTCTCAAAGTACTCCTTGGCCTGTATTAAAGGACATAGCATGTGGAAGGCAGGAAATGAAAACACGTCATAAGTGATTTAGGCAGAGTTACTTACTTGAAGGAAAGAAAAAAGAGGAAACAAGCAGTAATTCAGGTGCCATATCAACATATCCAAACAACCCAACATTCAGAACATGAAAATACACAGAAAAAGAAACCCATTTAAACGATGCATTAAGATCCAAACCTAGCAACACCTAAGGGCAGGAAGGGGTGAAAGGGATGTCAAAATGGGAGCAAGTTTATGTTACAATGCCCACAGGGGTTCAGACGCAGATGTCTACTATTCTCTATACACCATTGAATCAAATAGACTTTAAGTCACTTATGATGCAGGGAAAATGTATTGCCTGAGATGCAGTGGGTTGGCAAGAATTACAGCAACATATAGAGACAGAAATTCGACAGGGAATTCGAAGTTTAAGTAGAATTTGCAAGAGAAACTATTGGTAATCTTACCTTGGTAAAGTTTTTCTCTACCCCATAGCCCTTGACGTACAAATACCCCATGCCATTATAAGCAGAAAATGATGGCTGCTTGGACGCACGAGTTAGCCATTGAAGTGCCTTAGTGTAATCCCTCTCAACTCCGGCACCCCTTGCATATATCTCTCCAACTAGTTCCATAGACCTTGGTTCACCTTTCTCCACAGCCTTGGAAAACCAGGACAGTGCCTTGGCATGATCACGCCTCAACCCTCTCAGTCCAAAATAGTAAAATAGTCCAATTCTATACATAGCTCCAGCATTACCCTTCTGCGCCTGATACTCCAAAATTTGGAAGTCTTCGTCCTCCTCTCCTCTAGACTTTCTTAAAGCTTGCTTGTTCTCCTCAGCCCCATTATGGATCCTCACAGGTTCAATCACTGGAGAGTCCTTAGAAACTAATAAACTGTTAATAGCTACCTCTGCTAATTCAGCATAAAGCTTGACTGCTTTCTCATACATCTGCAGCAACCAAGCAAGGTTTACCCATTGGAAAACACGATAATCAAAAGGATCTGGATGCATTCAAAGGTTGAATTCAAAAGAATTAAACAGAATTCAAAATCCACTCACTTCTTGCCTGAAGTAAATATACGCAAGAGCCATCTTAGATTGCTTATTCCCTTCAGCGGCAAAGTAATGATACATAAACGCTTTAGCCTTGTTCGTCTCCTTCATTATCCCCATTCCATGTAGTAACCCTAGTACCGATTGCGCGTGCGGATCCCCACTCCCCGCAGCAACTTGATCAATGTCCGCAACCGCATCCTCCATCAACCTTAAGTCACCGGAACTCACCGACGACATAAATTTCCCTAAAGCAGTGTAGTACAGATCCTCCGGCGCGTCGGAGGCGGAGGAAGGGGAATCCGGTTCGAATATAGGGCGCCAAGAGCCCGGGTCGAGCTCCTCGCTGGAGTTTTGAGATTCAGGCTCCCCAAATTCATCCCACTCGGCGGAATCGGAGTTGGCGGAATCGAGGAAGTCGTCGGCGAGTGCACCATCCTTGAGGTCATCTTGAGAGATGACGATGAGATATGGACGAGCATTGATGAAAAGAGAGCATAGACATAGAATTAGAAAAATGACCTGAAGTCTACGAGCTTTCAGTTGCATTCTAATCTGTCCTCCGTTTGAGTTTTTGAAGATGAAGAACAAGACGACGACGACGACGACGAAGCTCTGTGGGATTTGATGCAAAACCAAAACTAGACGACGAGATCCGGCGGTGACACATCAGGTACTATCATTGGACCAATAAGACTTCGCCATGTCAGCAAAAGTTTAATTCTTATTTATAAATTCAAAAGTTTAATTTTTTTATCTTATAATTTTAATATTGGATTAGTTTAATCCATCATATTTAAACTTCTCTATATCAATTGACTTGTAGCTCATCTACCCTTTTTGGAGAAATAAGTTGGATGAAATTACGAGCATAGTTCCTAAACCTTGAAATTTGTGTCTATTTAATTTCTCATCTCCCTAACGTGCTTGCTAAATGGAATAATCATATTGTCTAGGAGTGATAAATTATCGATCAACTCATAGCTCATCTACCCTTTTTGGAAAAATAAGTCTCTAGGGCCCAAGTTGGATGAAATTATGAGTTTAGTTTTTAAAATTTGAAGTATGTGCCCATTTGATTCCTGATCACCACAAGGTTACTTACGAATGGAAGGATCTTATTGTCCATGTCATGAATGATAAATTATCGATCCAATTCCTAAATCGAAAAAAAATGGTGTTCTAAACTAAATTAATGATTTAAAAATAAAGGCTTCAAAAGGTGAAAAAGTGGAGGGCAAAATTGAGAATAAATAAAAGGGAGGGGAAAGAAATATTTCAATTTTCATCTCTCTCCTCCATTTCCAAATCCTTAAATCCTTTCTCTCTCTTCTTCTTTGTTTTTATTTCTAATTCAAATTTCAGTCTCTGCTTCTCTACACCCACAGAGAGCAAAGGAAATGTTGAATCCGGCGAACGATCTGTTCTCGACGCCGTCTTCTCCGACGAATTCATTCATTTCCTCCTCCGATCTCGACACTGAGGTGCCCATCATCGCCTTCTCCCATTTTATGATTATCTTATCCGTTTCTTTATTTTCGGAATTCAATTCTGTTTTGCAGTCTACAGGTTCCTTCTTCCATGACAGGAGCACCAGCTTGGGGACTTTAATGGGGGTGAGCTTCCCTGCGATTGCCTTCCGAGTCTCCTCCCAGAGCCGAGGCCACCACGCCGCTGCGGCGGCGACAGCTGACGTTTCCCGCAAGAGCAAAAAGCCAAAGAGAAAAACGACGACGGCGCCGGGGCTAGTCTCTGATCGGAAGCGGAAGTGGTGGCAGCTGTGCAGGGACGACGGTGTTAAACCGGCATCTCTGGGTGACTTTCTTGAGGTGGAACGGAGATTTGGGGATGGTGCTTTTTACGGCAATGCGGTGGATCTAGAAGGCGTGGTTACGGCGGATCAACGGAGGAGTGGTCGGAATTTGTTCGCCGACGGGAGAGTTCTTCCGCCTGCGCCAACGGAGGAAGAAGCATCGGCAGGCGCGGCTCTCCGCCGATTTTCATTATCGCTCACCGGAATTTGCAGCGGCGGTGCCGGCTAAAATTTGGGATTTGATTTGTCCTGTTTATTTAAATATAATATATTACATTTAATCAATCAAATGGTTTAATTATTACTATGAAGAATTTTGAAATAAAAAATGTAACTTTTTTCGTGTGGTGACCCTCTTCTTTTCTTTTCTTCTCATTTTTTAAATTTCTTTTAATCCTACTTTTTTTTTTCTTTTTGAAAATAATTGTAAATTATGAACTCTGCTCAAGAAAAAAAAATCATACATTAATTAGGAAAAAGATAACCTATTTTATTATTTTCCAATCTTAACTAATTTAATTTAATTATGATAAGAAAAACGACAATTAATCTGTCATACTAGTGTTTCTTTAAATAGAATAGAAACATAATCTAAAGTTGCTAAATAAGCATAAAATAAAAAAAAAATATAAGAACGTGCTCATATGCGGAGCTGAAGAAACTGCTACCACATCCTAAGAAAGCAACAAGCGTACAAATTATCCAATCATGACACGAGATAGTGACAATGAATAACAATACCAAGCTCTTCGAGTTTGATAATAACAATGAATTCAATCTAAATCATTACCGAAGAACAATAAGAAGGCAAATCTAGTGCCAACAACTATGGTAATTCCAACTTGAATAGCATATATTTAAGTTGTTGCAGTTAAAAAACTTCAGTCTCACGTTTAACTATGGTGAGCACGAGTTTGGCTCATCCCTTTTGCGAACTAACTGATGTTGAAGGTTAGTATATCCAAGATATTCACAGTTCATATAGCAGAGAATTGACAGTTCAAAGAAACAAATTTCAAAATGAAGAACAAATTTATTAGTTATGGAAATACCAAAATGTTTACTCAATTTAATGGCCGAGGAAAAGTTGTATGGCTTAAGGGATTGAGGATTTCTTGGCATTTTCTAGTTCTAAACGTCCCAAGGAAATGAGATATTCAGGCTTCTCTACTGAAAAAGCATTATGAAAAACAATACCAACAAAATTAACTCACATACGATTTAGGAGTTCCGGGTTCGTTCCTGCTCTAAAGAAGATCAAATTATAATGTTCGTCATTTTCGAGTCGTTTTTTGCCTCAGTCTTTTGATAGCCATGAAGGTCACAGCAGCTGAGAGAGAGTACCTGCACAAAGATCAGCCATTGCAAGAATAAGAATGTGTAACACTTCCCAAATGAAGCTTCTTTGATATCAAAATCTTCATGAAATTCATTTAGTTTCCTTTTCAGCTTTCCCTTTCGAACTTCTTAACGCGTTTGCTAGGGAGAGATTTCCACTTTCTTATAAGAAATGATGTTTTATTCCCCTCTTCAACCGATATGGGATCTCACAATCCACCCCTCTTAGGGGCCAGCGAGGACGCTGGCACAACGCCCAGTGTCTAGCTCTAATACCATTTTAAACAGCTCAAGTCCACCGCTAACAGATATTGTCCTCTTTGGGTTTTCCCTTTCGGGCTTCCCTTCAAGGTTTTAAACGCGTCTGCTATGAAAAGGTTTCCACACTCCTATAAGAAATTATTCATTCCCCTCTCCAACCGATATGGGACCTCACAATCCACCCCCCTTGGGGGCCCAACGTTCTCGCTGGCACGACCCGATGTCTAGCTCTGATACCATTTTTCACAGCCCAAACCCACCACTAGCAGATATTGTCCTCTTTGGGTTTTCCCTTTCGAGCTTCCCCTCGAGGTTTTTAAAACAAGTCTGCTAGGTAGAGGTTTCCACACCCTTATAAAAAATGTTTCGTTCTCCTCTCCAACCGATGTGGGATCTCACATGACAAAAGGGGAATCAGATCGAATGCAGCATCTTAATTCTCAATACAATTGGAATAATCGTTAAGACAAGTACGGGACACTGAAATTTATTCCACGTCTAAAACCCTTGAATGCTTAGGAGTACTTCATAGCAATACTTAATGAAATAGTGAACATTACATTTCAACACTGAATGGAAAAGGGTGACGACATACCATGTTAATGTGTAATTAAGATGATCCTGTGGCATAACGGAACTTCGTATCAACGTATTAACATCCTTCGGAATCGGATACGGGTTACTTGGGTTCACATTCTCATTTATGTCTTCCACATAAATAGCATCCTCAGGGAGTCCAGAAGTACGTGCAATTGCTGGAACATCAACATAAAACCATTGGCTAGAGCCAGGATCATTTGCTGGAACAAATATGCTAGGCTTTTCACTTGTGCGAACCACTCCAATAACTTCTACTGGAGTAGTAATGGGGCTCACTTCATTCTGCATATCAACAACCAAACTTAGAATTTTGGTCTTTGAAGATAAGTTAATTGGCATTAAACAAGCAAAAATGTCAAAAAGAACCTCTAGATTCTTGGTCGTTTTCGACCAGAACTTCCACCAAGAGCTTCTCTCACTCTCTTGAACCATGGAGGGTGCAATATCTGAAGACTGTTCTCTACCTTGATGGTCTACTTCTAAAGCCTTCTCCTTCCAAGTGCGTGGAACCCATCCTCGATTGACCAAAACAGGTGACTGCACACTGGAAGAGGGTTGTTTGATTTAATCTTGGTTAAATGGAGACATATAACGAATATCGAGCCACAAAATCCATTCGAAAGAACAATTTCCATTTTTATACAGCATGGCAACTAGAATTGGTGAACTAAATGTCCTATTTGGCCTTCCATGTCCTTGGAAATTCATAGCATATCCATGTGTTAAACCATACTACCTTATTGTGAATGAACAGCCATGACAACCATTCAAGTATGAAAGAATTCCAACAAAAATTTCCATTCATATGTTCATATCAGAATATAAAAGGCGAGCTTATGGAGGTTAGTTGGAAGCAACTTCAACAGCCATGAACTTACAAGCAAAGCAAAATGGTTCATAAATACACCAATCTAGAATGGAACAATTCTCTACTGAAGACAAATATAAAGCCAGTTTTGATAAGAGAAAAGGGACTGGAAAATACCTATCAGGTAGGCCAGGAATGGGCATCAATGGGGTAATAACATAATGGCCATTTTCGGTCACTCCTGAAATGCTTCTCGAACGTGGACCAACGAAGATTGATTTTTTCTCATCAAAAACTCCTTTACAGATCACCCTCCTGAACTCCAGATCATCTAGCTTGTCTTTCAATGGAAGTAAGCTGTTTACGTTCACAGGTTCCATTAACAGTCGCTTCTGCCTGTAATCTAGAATTTCTATCTGCAAAATAAAATGTCAAAGACGATCCTTACTTGGACGAGAAATGGGTGTACATTAGCTCCCTACAGTGCTACTTTGACGATTTAATGTTGAAAAGACAGACCTTCAGCTTTCAAGGATGGAAAATGAAGCAAACTTTGATACTAAATAACAGAAATTACTGGTCAAATTCTCTATGGCATGGAAAGATTGCCACAAAAGTTTCCCCCTACATCATTGACCGAATCAATGCCTCAATAAGAAACCCTTTAGCCAAGATTTTAGAGAATCATAAATTCTTTTCAAGTATATGTTAGGAATCACGATTCTCCACAATTGTATGATATTGTCCACTTTGAGCATAAGCTCTCATGGCTTTGCTTTGGGTTTCTCCAAAAGGCCTCATACCAATGAAGATGTATTTCTTATAAATCCATGATCATTTCCTAAATCAGTCAATGTGAGACTCGCTCGAACAAAGTACACTATAGAGCCTCCCCCGATGCCTATGGAGCCCTCGAACAGCTTCCCTTTAATCGAGGCTCAATTCCTTCTCTGGAGTCTTCGAACAAAGTACACTCTTTATTCCACACTTGAGTCACTTTTGACTACATCTTCGAGACTCACAATTTCTTTGTTCGACATTTGAGGATTTTATTGACATGACTAAGTTAAGGAGATGACTCTGATACCATGTTAGGAATCACGACTCTCCACAATGGTATGATATTGTCCACTTTGAGTATAAGCCAACCCAACAATCCTCAAAAGTATCAACCCTCCACAAAATGAATAGAGCAACATCTATAAACAATGAGTTAATCACCCATCTGCAAGAGTTTGTCAGGAGCATAGGAGCGTCAAGAACAGTCTTCAAGACTTGCATTCTTTTGACGGAGGTATTTTACTAATTCAACGGGACAAATGATTAAATAAGTAATGAAAAGCTAAACTATTAGAGAATTCAAACAAGCATAACACAAAAACCAGAAATAAATCAAAATACCTTCTCTTGCCTCCTGAAAATCTGCCAAGTTCCAAGGCCAAACGTGAGAGCCCCAGGTAAAAACAGGAGCCATTTTGACAATTTCGAATCTCTTCGTTTCTCTAAGAAAATACCCACCAAGCAATACGCGATTTTAAACAATAAAACTCACAAGAACCTAAATCATTTTGCAAAATCAAGACCAATCCAGATAGAAGAAAGTTCATAAACTCACGTTGAGCTTGAGAAAGCGAAGATGACTGGGGATCAGCAGCAGAAGAAACTGCAGCCGCAGAGCTGAACGAGAAAGAAGACGAAGGTAAAGGCGTCGGCGTCGCGCTGTGCCGAGTAAGGGAAATAAAAGGGCGAAATTTAGCTATGGATTTAGCAAAGGAAGAAGATGCCATGTTCTTGATGCTGACATTTGAGAGTTCTTCAGTCTTCTTCTTCAGCTTCCTGCTCTGTTCTGCTCTGTTGTGGCTGAAAAACTCATTTCGGGGCCCTTAAGGGTTTATGCTTTGTATTCGAACCAAAATCGTATAAATCTATTCACCCCTAAACTTTTATTTCTAAGATCTGTAAAATTAATTAAATAAATCCATTTCTTCCATAAAACTTTTAAAATAATTATTATTTAAAATTTTAATTTTTTATTTTAACAATAGCGTTGACAACTAATAAATAAATTTAGTTGAATATTTAAATATTAGTTTATATTTGATAAATCAAATATTTATTTTATAAAATTATCGAAAGAAAATCAATTCGACAAAGGTATTAAAAATATTTTATATATTATTAAAATAATATTCTCTAATTTTACAGGATAAATGTTACACTTTCAATATTATTAAATAAATAGTTATTATTACTTTAATTAAATAATTTGTATAAAAATTATATATTATTTACTACCATTTTCAAATTTTCCAATCAAATACCTTTTTAATTAGTTATGTTTAATTAATTAGAACTAAAATAACTTTAATAATTTACAATACAAAATCTACAATAATTAAATTGTTGCAAAATTGGAATTTAAATATATATAGTAGTAACTTGTTTAAGGTTTGCATCTCAACAAATGACAGTTTGGCCGAGTGGTCTAAGGCGCCAGATTTAGGCTCTGGTCCGAAAGGGCGTGGGTTCAAATCCCACAGCTGTCACAGTTTATTTTTTTTTTTTTTTTTTTTGATTTTGCGGCTCCAGTTTTCTGGGTTGAAGAAAAGATAGAAAAGCTAGATTCGGGGCAGTATTTATGGAAATATTCTTCATCTGTGTTCTTGGTTTTATCCCCCACTGGCCTTCAGTGATGGAGAGTGTTGGAGTTACCGAAGTCAGACAGTGACATAAACAAAGAGATTTCAGAGACAAACAACCAGTTTTTCTTGTTAATTTCTCCCTTCAACTCCTTCCCTCGTGTCCAAATTTCTCCCCCTTTTTAAACCTTCTTATAGCTTCTCCATCCTTGCCTCTTGTCAATGCCACTTTTCTTGCCTCTCAAATCCTACAAACCCAATAGTCATGGCAGTAGATGGCCTGAGACGAGCAAACAAAAGTCTCGAGACCCTTCTCGATAACGACAAGGTTGTCGCTCTGCCACCGCAGCTGCAAGTCAAGTTGTTGCCGGGACAAGGCTTGGAATTCAACAACTTGTCATATAGTGTTCTAAAGAAGTTTAAAAAGGATGGTGTTTGGATCAAAAGAGAAGCTTATCTTTTGAATGATATCTCTGGACAAGCGTTGCGAGGTGAAATCATGGCTATCATGGGGCCGAGTGGCGCTGGGAAATCGACCTTTCTCGATGCCTTGGCTGGTCGGATGGCAAAAGGAAGCCTTGAAGGATCTGTTAAGATTGATGGAAGACCTGTGACTGCAAGTTACATGAAGATGGTTTCATCTTATGTTATGCAAGATGACCAACTCTTCCCAATGTTAACTGTGTTTGAGACATTCATGTTTGCAGCTGAGGTCAGGCTTCCATCCTCTATTTCTAGGGATGAAAAGAAGAACAGAGTTTACGAGCTCATCGACCAACTAGGTCTACAGGTATATACCACTTTCCTTCCACCTGTAACGTGAGATTCCACATTGGATTGGTTGGAGTGAAGAACGAAACATTCTTTATAAGGGTGTGGAAACCTCTTCATAGTGGACGTGTTTTAAAAACTTTGAGGGAAAGCGCAAAGAGAACAATATCTATTACGGTGGGCTTAGGCAATTACAAATGGTATCAAAGTCAGACACTGGACGATGTGTCTGCAAAAAGGCTTAGCCCTGAAGAGGGGTGGGCACGAGACGGTGTGCCAACAAGGATGCTGGGCCTCGAAGGGGGGTCCCACATTGGTTGGAGAGGGGAACGAAGCATTCTTTATAAGGTGTGGTGGCTGGGGAAGTCCGAAAGGGAAAGCACAAATAGGACAATATTGGCTAGTGGTAGGCTTGAGCTGTTACAATTAAACTAATAATTTTGCTTCTCTTTGTTCTACAGAGTGCCATGCATACATATATAGGTGATGAAGGGAGGCGAGGAGTGTCGGGAGGCGAACGACGAAGAGTGTCGATAGGAATCGACATCATCCACAAACCATCTCTCTTATTTTTGGACGAGCCGACCTCTGGGCTTGATTCTACGAGTGCTTATAGTGTAGTAGAGAAGGTGAAAGAGATAGCTCGAAATGGAAGCATTGTTCTGATGACCATTCATCAACCTTCTTACAGAATTCAACTACTACTTGATCGCATCACTGTTCTTGCCAGGTATAAGATCCTTTACGCCTTCGAACTTGGTCCATTGTAATGGCAATTCATGCTTCAAATGTGACTATTACAGGGGGAGATTGATATACGTTGGAAATCCATTCAACCTTTCGGCTCATCTCTCTGGCTTTGGAAGGCCAGTGCCAGATGATGAAAATGGCATAGAATATCTATTGGATGTGATCAAGGAATACGACGAGTCAAATGTCGGGTTGGAGCCTCTCGTGCTATACCAACGACACGGTATCAAACCCGATCTAGTTGCAAAGACTCCTGTTCCGAAAACACCTAAAGCTCCTTACAAAAACGGTCCGGGGCCAGGACCGAAGTTCCTAAACCTTCGTAGTCAAGCATTCTCCATGACATCAGGGCCAAACTCAAGCCAATTTGATTCAGCATATGGATATGATGATAACGAGGATGACGACTTTGATAAATCTCTCGAACGGAAATCAGCTAGAACTCCGATGAATAATCGTAGCGGTGTTTACTACCCTCCTTTAGCATCTCAATTCTACAAAGATTTATCTGCTTGGGTCTATAATGGTGTTAAAGGCACTCCTGGTCGACGACCATCGTGGACTCCTGCAAGGACGCCGGGACAAACACCAGGAAAAACACCTATATCCGGAGTTAGAAGTGTCGTTTCGAGTCAATTTCCGTCGTCTCATCAAACGACTACTCATGCAAAAATACCTTCCGTCTTCAACATGTCAATGGACTCTCATTTACCTTCTTTTGAAGAGTTGGACATGGAAGAAGTTCTTGATGAGCCAGACCATGGTCCCAAATATGCAAATCCTTGGCTCCGTGAGGTCGTCGTGCTTTCATGGAGGACGATGCTGAACGTGATCCGCACCCCAGAATTGTTTCTATCTCGCGAGATTGTATTGACAGTAATGGCGATAATTCTTTCGACGATGTTCAAAAATCTCGGCCATGCTACTTTTAGAGACATCAACAGACTTCTCAACTTCTACATCTTTGCAGTTTGTCTCGTTTTCTTTTCCTCAAACGACGCTGTCCCGACATTCATTCAAGAAAGATTCATCTTCATCAGAGAGACATCTCACAATGCATATCGAGCTTCGTCATACGTCATTTCCTCCCTCGTTGTCTATCTTCCATTTTTCGCCATTCAAGGCTTCACATTTGCAGCCATAACCCAATTCTGGCTACACTTGAAAAGCAACCTCTTCTTCTTCTGGATATCACTTTTTGCCTCACTCATCACAACAAATGCATATGTTATGCTTGTGAGTGCGTTGGTACCAAGCTATATCACAGGCTATGCAGTTGTAATAGCCACCACAGCCATTTTCTTCCTCACTTGTGGATTCTTCCTGAAACGAACTCAAATACCGATATACTGGAGATGGCTTCATTACATCTCTGCAATAAAGTATCCATTTGAATCCTTGTTGATCAATGAATTCAAAGGGACAAGATGTTATCTAGGAAATCCCAATGATCTTTCGCCCGGGCCGTTGGGAGATGTTCGGATTAGCAAGCTGCACAATGTTTCTAGAGATTTGCAGCCAAACTGCATGCTGATCGGAGAAGACGTTCTGTTCTCGATGGACGTTAATATGCGAAATATATGGTATGACATTGGTATCTTACTAGCTTGGGGGGTGCTTTACCGGCTGTTCTTCTATGTGGTTCTTAGATTTTACTCCAAGAATGAGAGGAAATGAAGCAAGCATCATCTTTGTATCTCTCTAGGCTTTTGAATGGGAATAAGTTGAAGATTGTAATGCCACCAGAATCGCTTTCCAGAGGCTGAATCAAAAAAACAAGAAACAAGCTAAGTCATTTTGAGCTAAGTTTAAGCAAAGCAATGCATACTCAAACCAAGCTCATGAGAATGTTTAAACTTGAAATTCTAAATGTCAGTTTTCATTTTACCATATCAACACAGTTCAACAAACACAAACACAAACACAAACACAGTTAGTTTTTTCAATTTAACAGTTCAAGTCCACCGCTAGCAGATGTTGTCCTCATAGCAGATATTGTCCAATATTTGCTAGCGGTGAGCTTGGACGGTTACAAATGGTATCAGAGTCAGACATCGGGCGATGTGCCAGCGAGGAGGCTACGCCCCAAAGGGAGAGTAGATACGATGCAATGTGCCAGTAAGAACACTGGGCCCCGAAGGATGTGAATTGGGAGGTCCCACATCGTTTGAAGAAGGGAATGAATGCCAGCAAGAACACTAGACACCGAAAGGAGGTGGATTGTGAGATCACATATCAATTGTGAAGGAGAACGAAGCTTTTTTTTATAAGGGTGTGGAAATCTCTCCCTAGCCGAGTTTTAAAAACCTAATATCTACTAGCGGTGGTACAAGCTTTTCTCAATATTTGATCGAAAGTACTTTTTCTTGTGGGAATTATTCCTCATTTGAAATTTAAAATAACATGTGAACACTAAAGAACAGTCTAGAGAGAGAAAGATCATAAAGAACACTGCCAAAATGTTCTCAGCATGTGACGAATGGGACCAAGAGATAGAAACATTTTCAGTTTGATTCTCTATCACGTTTTCAAGTAGAGGAAAGAACAATATAGAATCATTCAGAATAGTTTTACATACAAAATATCATCCCATTTTTTTCTCTGGGTGTAAATAAAAAGCAATATTTTACATAAACATGGAGCAACTAAGTTACACATTGTTCAATCGAAACTAACTGCGCTTTTCAATTGAACAAACGAAAATTATATTAAAAAACAAAACCAAGAATCAATCTAAGCTAACAGATTGACA